TCGTGCAAGTCTAGCTTCCTGCTCAAGATACCATGACTGTTGTTGCATGTGTAAGTTTCTGCCGAGAACGTTTTCCCATCTTGCCACAGCTGGATCTGACACATTGATTCCCAGAGCAACAGTTATGGCTGTCGACGCAGCGTGGCCATGCAGCCGTCGGAACGCCATCTTGTATGCGCCGCGCCAAGAGAATATACCGCGAGTGGTCGTCTTTCTTTTTTTTTTCGGCACAACAAGGTAATGGCATTTGTCAATGACAGCCTGCTTGTCTTCATTCATCTTCTGTTCGAGAACGGTAGCCTCTGGGGTCAATGGGTTCATGGGCAAACTAGAATCGGATGAGGATCACTTGGCCTCGCGTCCGATGGATGGCAAATTGCATGGCGGACCATTGGACCCCTCTTACGATGCGTTACTACTTGGTGCGTGGTGTCCTAAAACATCGTCATCACCCCCTTCATCCTCTCAACCTCCCTCCTCCTCCTCCTCCTCCTCATCATAAGTCGTTCTGTTCGTTGTGATTCTCCGCCATCCTCCTCGTGTTGACTGCCGCGCCCTGCACGTGGCACCTCCTCTCCCCTCACTCGCCGCGATTCCCCCGCCCTGCCCCTCCGCTGCGCGGGCCCTCACATGATCTGATCGTCGTATCCTCCATCCTGTCCTTCATTACGCTCTCTCTCTCTCTCTCTCTCCCTTTCCTCCTCATCTCCCTCCTCCTCCGCCTCTTCATTATCCTACTCATCCTCCTCGTCATTTCCTTACTTGAGTCATCGTGCTCACTGCGCGGATCGTTCTTCGCATTCTCTCTCTCCTCCCCCCCTTTTCCTCGCCCCCCCCTGCCTTCCTCCTCAGGGTCCTGGTAGACGGAGGGGGTGATGACATTGCGAAGGGGAGGTCCCAGGGAGCCTTCTTTCTCCAGTATGCCGCTTTTCTGCGAAAGTTCTTTTTCTCTGATGAGATGTTGACCAGCCTGGCGCGGAGCCCCTCGTGAGCAAGCCTGGAGACAGTTCGCTCTTCCTGGACTTCCTGGGGCTCTGTCGGCGCTGCATCGGCTGGAGCACGGCCCCGACCTACCCGACCCCATAAATCCCTGCGTGGCCGTTCCAATACGGGTACTGCTGCTCCAATGTTCTGATCTCGTTGCTTGTCCATCCACACTTTCCGATCAATGTCCAACAAGGTCTGTTCAGACGGCGCGTTAATACACATGATCTTCAAACTAGCCAAAATACCAAACACAGTGAAATCATCTCCATTCGATCTCTCCTGCACGTGCTGAGAAATAGTTTGTCGGAGGGCCCGCTCATCAGTACTATTCAGCGAACCAGCATATGCAAGAACAGTGCTCACGATAATCGATTCAGCGTCTGCTGGTCTGAACGTGCAGAATGGATGTCCCGAGGCATCTGGCGGCGCACAGCCCAGACGTACGATCGATTGCAGTGCAGCATCGTACACACGCGGTTCCATCTCGAGCAAAAGCGGCTTCGACGCGACGATAGGATGATGCCCCCGTTCTGACTTCATTCCCCTAGTGGGTCACGACCCTCCTGGAGAGTGCGAAGGTATCTATGGTTGAGGGCGTCCACTGAGACCGTCGGTGCACAATCTGACTATTCCTCCGCCCGGGCGTCCGCCCGGGCACCCGGACACCCGGGCGCCGGCCCGGACACCCGGTCACCCGGGCACCCGGACACCCGGACACCCGGACACCCGGACACCCGGACACCCGGACACCCGGACACCCGGACGCCCGGACGCCCGGACGCCCGGACACCCGGGCACCCGGACACCCGGACACCCGGACACCCGGACACCCGGGCACCCGGGCACCCGGGCACCCGGGCACCCGGGCACCCGGGCACCCGGGCACCCGGACGCCCGGACACCCGGGCACCCGGACACCCGGACACCCGGACAACCGGGCACCCGGACACCCGGACGCCTGGACACCCGGACACCCGGACACCCGGACACCCGGACACCCAGGCACCCGGACGCCCGGACGCCCAGACGCCCGGACGCCCGGACACCCGGACACCCGGACACCCGGACACCCGGACACCCGGACACCCGCGCACCCGGACACCGGCTTTGTGGCTTTTAGTGGGGGTTATTGGGTTACGGAGGAGGATTGGGTGAGGGGTTGTATGTAGCATCGCATATCACACATTGCATAGCACCGCGTCGCATAGCATAGCATCACATAGCATTGCTCCTCATACCATATAGTTGCATGTCATGACATACCATATCACAACGCAGCATCTCAAAACATGGCATAGCGTGGCATACTTAACATATCATAGCATTGCATCGCATAGTATAGCATAGCGCAGCACAGCATCGTATCGCATACGACAACCTATCATAGCACTGCACAACATAACATTGCATAGCATAGCACGGAGCACTCCCACGCCACGGGACACCACAGGACACCACGAGACAACGCGGGACATTGCGACAAGGGGCACCAAGGAGCACCATCGGGACACCACAGGGCCGCCTCTGGCTTGTCGTTTTAGCAACGGCAGGTTCATGTTTTTCGCCCGCCCTGCGCAGCCTCGTTTCGCCCGCTCGCGCGACACGAACACGAACATTTGTCAGTGGGGGTGTCCGTGTCACTGCGATACACATGTTTGCATACATACGTTTATGTATGTGTGTACGACATGCATTACCAATCAAATTACATGCTATGTGTACAGACATGTTAATATGTGTGTCGACGTGTCGTGCACATGATGCATGGGGTTCGCATTCAGAATACATAATACGCAGACGTGCGTTGTGCATGATCACCCGCATACATTGCATGAGTGCGTGTGAACGATTTGCACGCGTGACATGTGTAGTATATACGCACATCATTCGTATACCATACACATGGGGTGCACATACATACGTACATCGAGTATGTCTGACACAAACGACACACGTAATGTGTATACATGTGTATGTGTGTACGCGTTGTGCGACGAACGCACGCATGAGTCATGTATGTACATTGTGTTTGTCTGTACGCATGTCATACGTATGTATGCGCAACGGGATGAAGCTGGAACGTTGTGTAGCTGCATGATATGTGTAAACATGTTTTTGTGTGCGCGTGAACGCGCGTAACTATGTATCTGTCGCGCACGTGCTTATCATTACATACGTACACATACAACCGTGCATTCATATGTACAGTTGTACATACACGCGTGCACACACCCATTCATGCGCGTGTACATATATATGTGGGCACACAAGCGCATAGTCAAGCATATATATATACAGATGTAGACATGTCTTGCGAAGACGCATGCGTATTTCACGTGCGATCCGAAAACAGCGCCACACCCCGGATGTGTTTGTTTACGCGTCTTGCCGCAAGCTCCCCGCCAGGGTTTGTGCAGTGCGTATTGCCTATTGTTGATTGCCAGACGTGCAACGCACAGCGTATCTATGCGCGTGGCGCCCAGCTATCTAATGACTTTCAGCCCATCCCGCCACCGTGCCTGGGTTGTGGGCTAGAGTCCTCATGGATGCTTCATGGGGTGTCATCGGAGGACTCTCGGGAACGTCTTGGGAGCAGTTGTGAAGCCTCGTGGGGGCCTCTTGGGGGCATGTTGGGGCTTTCCCTAAGACACCCTCCAAAGGGTTCGTGCAACGCGTAGCGCTTGTTGTTGTTTTCCAGGCGTGCATCGCATAGCGTGTCTATGCGCGTAGCGCCCAGATATATTCAGCGCGTAGCGCTCAGCTATATGCATACGACTACTACTACTACTACTACTACTACCACTACTACTACTACTACTACTACTACGACTACTACTACTACTACTACTACTACTACGACTACGACTACGACTACGACGATTATTACTACTACTACTACTACTACTACTTCTACCATTACCACTACTACTACCACTACTAATACGACTTCTACTACCACTACTACATCTACCCCTACTCCTACTCCTACTTCGACTACTCTTGTTTACTACTACTACGACTTCTACTACTACTACTTCTACTCTTACTACTACTACTACTACTACTACTACTACTACTACTACTACTACTACTACTACTACTACTACTACTACTACTACTACTACTACTACTACTACTACTACTACTACTACTACTACTTACTACAACTACTACTACCTTCTACTACTACTACTGCTACTACTACTACTACTACTATTACTACCGGTATTACTACTAGTACTACTACTACTACTATTAGTACTACTAGTACTACTACTACTACTACTACTACTACTACTACTACTACTACTACGACTACTACTACTACTACTACGACCCTTACTGTTATTATTATTACTACTACTGCTACTACTACTACTACGACTACAGCTACACCTACAACTACGACTACAACTAGAACTACACCTACACTAGCAAGTACACCTACAACTACAACTACACATACATCTGCAGCTACACTTACAACAACAACTACAACTACAGCTACTACTACTACTACTCGTATTTCTGTTACTGTTACTGCTACTGCGACTACTACTGCTAGTGCTACTACTACTACTACTACTACTACTACGACTGCTACTACTACTACTACTACTACTACTACTACTACTACTACTACTACTACTACTACTACTACTACTACTACTACTACTACTAGGTGTATATATATAGATATTTGGAACCGCATGTATATATATGTAAATATCTGTTTATAGATATGCATATATATACATAAATATGGATATATCTGGATACGCACACATATATATGGCGGTATATATACAAACATGTCTATATGTCGTGCTATAGATATGATGATAAGGATAAGGAGGAAGATGAGGAGGATGAGGAAGATGATGGGCTGTGTGTTCCTTGTCTCTGTCCGTGCAGAGACCAGTCATATCCCACGTCGTTGTAGTCGTAGCTGAGCTGAGCTCAGCTGCCCTGGACCTGAAGGTCCATCTTCTCACTCAAGGCGCAGCTCACTCTCAGTCAATGTCGATCTTCTCCTCCTGGACGGCGTCTGCAGACGCAGTCTCCGCGTTGCCGGCAACACCGTTAGCCTGGGACAACCCTTGGAGCTTCGCCAGGATCTCGAGGCGCTTCGACGTCAGTGGATTGTCCCCCGCCGGCACTCCGCTGGTGGCTGACACCGCCGCCTTAGACTTGCCTCTCTTCGCCACCGCCACACTGGTGTCGTCCTTACCCTTGTCTTTGACCGTCGCGTCGGCAGCAGCAGGCTTCGGCATCGTACCAGCGACCTCCTTCATGAGCGAGGCGCAGGTGGCTTGGTAGTTCGAGCTGCCCTCAGTCGATAGGTCCTGGTAGACGCGCTGGATCAAGCGGTTACGGAAGAGTAGCTTGTGCTCGTCGCTGTTCACGAGCCCGACGTAGCTGATCTTATTGCGGATGCAGACGAGGGCGAAAGTTTCCTCTAACGCAGTGAAGTGCACCACGGACTTGACGTTCCAGGAGTGCACCACCTCCTCGAACCACTCCTCGCAGGCCTGGAGGTTGACACCAACACCAAGATCGGCGGTGTGCCTGCACCGAGGAAAGAAGATCCCGATCTCGGTGATGGTGGTAACGTTCTGGCTTCCAAGGTGACCGAAATATTACCACCAACACCGAAATCTAGGATCGTCTTTCCCATGTGGAGGCAACCCCTGTGCTGGTATTGGTGCCAATTTCCAGGCCTCCAAACTCCTCACACATAGCGAACCAGTTGACGGGCTCCATGCCGTCTTTGAACGTCGGGGGATCGTAACTGCTTGAGGCCGCACCGCCCGCCAAGATCACGCCGCGCTTGCCGAAGAGCTGTTTGCGAACCTTGGGCGGCACGCGCCATGTGTTCTCATAGTTCGGCATAGCGATCGGGAATATCGAGTTCCCTTGGTTGGAGCTGTTGAAAAACTTGCGCTTCTTGTAGGCGAGGTGCAGCGTCGACGCCGTGAACACCACGGCCTGCTCCACCTGATCGACCTTTGTCTCGCGAACCGTAGATTTCCGATTCTTGAGGGACTGCTCGTCGTAGCTCAGGTAGTAGACCCTCTTCTCCTTGACCATGGGCTTGGGCTCGCTGGTCTTGTTCAGCGCGGTGGCGAACGCGCCGTGGTTGCCATGCGACTGGGCGTCCAATATCATGAACATGTCCCCCTCAACGAGCTCGTCCGGACTACCCCGGCCGTCCTGGAATCCGACGACGCACTTGCGCAGATGCTCAGCTCGGAAGTTAGGATGCCTGATGTGTGGGGATACGTTGGAAGTCCCAGCTTGCTTGACGTCGTAGTAGGCGAGGACGTTGTCGACCTTCGGGGTGCCCTTCATGTCCGGCAGGTTGGTCTTCTTCAAGATGTCCCCGATCTGAGGGCCGGTGTCTGGTTCGACGTGGAGATCGACCCACTGCGACACGAGCTTCTGGGCAAACTCCAGCCACGGCGTGAGCTTATCCTCCATCTCTGCCTCGATGTGTTGCCCAGCGACTTCTTTGATCGAGATTTCGCCAGTGATGGCGGCGCAAGTCTTAGAAGCACGTCCACGCTCATCCGTTCCTGCGCCGTCCAAGTCGATGACGGGGGGCTGAACCTCAGGCTTCTCCGCCGAAAGCTCTGCGATAAACTCCGACACCGCATCCTTGACAGGGCATGTGTTCAGGACTTCAGCGACCATGCTTTGGCTGTTGCCCCCAGCGTTTCGCAGGACCTGCTTGATGACGCCGTCGAACGTAGTCTTGTAGACCAGGTCTTCGATGAGCTCGTACAGCTTGCGGCCGCTCTTCGTCATCTTTGCCCACCACGACAACTCCTTTCTGTCCGCTGTGTAGCCGCTCATCTGCCTGTAGCCCTGGTGGTTGCCGATCTTCTTCAGAGTCTCGATGACGAAAGTGTCGTCGATGCTGTACTCGCCCGGGAACCCGAGAGTCAGGTGGATCAGGGCGTGGTATTTGAGCATGAACACGTCGATCGTCCCTTTGTTGTTGTTACCTTTTCCCACCATCGTCCGATGCGCGTACTCGCCAGGGCTCGTGAGCCCGTTGAGAACGGTGTCGGTGATATGGTTGATGACGAAGCTCATGACGGCACCGTTGTTCTTGCATTTGGACATGATCGCCTCGAGCTTGTAAATCGAGTCGAAGGGTGATTTCTTATTGAAGTGCTTCTCGGAGTGTATCAGGGCCTGCCGCACGTCGGTGTCCAGGATCATGGCCTTGTAGACGGCCACGGCAGTCTTGGCATAGGTCTCCGAGATAGGCTCGCCACTGGGTCCAGACGTCCCGCCGATGTTATCGTTCCAGAGCTTGGCCATATCCTTGGCGTCGAGGGGTCCGTGGTTGGAGGTCGAGCGCTGCAGGACGTAGACGAACTCGAGCAAACGCTGGAGCATGGTCCGGCTGGCCACCTCTGCGTTGTGGCTGACGCGATTCCGTTCTTTAATACTCTTGTACATCTTATCATCCTCGTTGTCTATGGCGACGAACCGGAACTTGACGGTCAGGAACGCCGTGTTCCAGATCTTGAGTGCGGCCTTGTCGTCAGCATTCACAGAGGCGTGCACGGCCAAGAGAAAGGCGTCGTCGAACTCTGATGGGGAGAGACGCTCCAAAGTACCTGCGACTGGAACTGTAGCATTGCGCGTGTCACGACTGACCCCGACGAGAATCTCACGTTCCACGTGCGAAACTGGCTTTGCGAACTTCTCTGCAATGTCCTTCTCGACCATCTTCTCGTTGATGTAGACGTTGCGCACAGGCTGGTAGTTCTGATTGATCCACCACCAATTGCCACCGCACTCGTAGACGCCTTCATCTTTGATGGCGATCTTGAAGTCATCCAGATTGAAAGGCGACTTCGTACCACCCTTCCCTATACCCAAGGGGGCGGCGGTCTTGATGCCCTTGAAGGAGGCGTGGTTCAGCACGTCGTCTCTCGCTGCATCCAGTCGCTCGAAATGGTCGGTGTTCATGCCTGTCACCTGCCCGTCCACGACCAGGGCCGCCCCTGCGCAGACGGTCTTCTGCACCTTGACGGGGGGTGGAGCGATGTCGTCGGCCTCGCCGTCCTGCGGCGGCGTCTCGCTCTTCGCCTTCGCCTTCGCCTTCTTGCCGCCCTTCGTCGGGGCCATCCCTGCGAGGAAGTAGGCCGCCGAGTGAGAAAAAGTCAGGCGATGCAAGTGCTCGCCTATTTGAGTAAAAATGTCGGTGGACATGAGACGGGTGGAGCAGGAGTGGGAGGAGGACAGGGAAGATGAGGGGGAGAGGCAACACCTCGCAACCCTGCGCCCGCTGCAGCAGGGGGACAATGGCGAAGACGAAGAGGCCCGGGACCCTCACAGATCGATCCACTGGGCAAAATCGCGCGTGGACATGGGTTCGAGAGCACGGCCCAATATGGCCAATTGAATGTTATTCGTGTTATGCGTGTTCTTATCAGTGCGGTGCTTCTTGCTGTTTCATGTTTATGTTTGGTGTTGGTGTCTCGTTGCCTTGCTGTCATGGTTGTTATCTGGTGGCCTTCGGCCCATCCCGCCACCGTGCCTGGGTTATAGGTTAGAGGCATCTTGGATGTTCGTTGGGATACAATGGGATGCCGTTCGGGGGCATGTTGGAAGCAGTTTTGAGTTATATTGGGGGCCGTTTGGGGGCCTCTTGGCGCATATATTTGGGCCTCTTGGGGACGTTTTGGGGCCTCCTGGGGGCCTTTTGGGGCCTCCTGGGGCCTCTTGTGGACTTCACGAGATGGAGGAAAATATGGGAATCGCGATTCACATCTTTTTGTTTTTTCCCCTACCTAGGCTCTGCCTAGAAGGGTTCTTACTCTGTTGGCTTAAAGGGCCGGGCAGTGCTAAACGCCCCGGGCGGTTCCCCCAGGATCCGCCCCGCGGTTCCCCCAGTTGCGCCCCATGGGTTCACCCAGCTTAGCTTAGCTAAGCTTAGCTTAGCCTAGCTTAGCGTAGCTTATCTCATCTTAGCTTAGTTTAGCGTTGCCTAGCCTAGCTTGACTTAGCTTAGCTTAGCTTAGCTTGGCTTAGCTTAGCTAAGCTTAGCTTGGCTTAGCTTAGCTTACCTTAGCGTAGCTTAGCTTAGCTTAGTTTGGTTTAGTTTAGCTTAGCTTAGCTTAGCCTAGCCTAGCTTAGCTTAGCATAGCTCAGCTTTCCTTAGCTTAGCGCAGCGCAGCGCAGCATAGCGCAGCGCAGCATTAGCACATCATAGCATAGCATAGCATAACATAGCATAGCATAGCATAGCGCAACATAGCATAGCATAGCATGACATATCATAGCATAGCATTGCTTAGCATAGCACAACGCAGCAACTCATATCATATTATATAATAGCATACCCTAACCTAGCCTAGCCGAGCCCAGCATAGCATTGCGCAGCATAGCATAGCATAGCATAGCATAGCAGGGTAGAGCAGAGCAGAGCATAGCATAGCATAGCACAGCATCCACTATTGCTGCTGCTACTGTTGCTTTCCTAGAGGCTCCAACTCCTAGGTAGGGTCGCACTGGGATAATTCGTTAACCGTCTTGAGCCCTCTTGGGACCCAAGATGGTTATCTTGGGGACCTCATGGGGCTTATTGGGGCCTCTTTTGGGCATCTTGGGGACCTCTTGGGGCCTCCTGCGGGCATCGTAGGGCCTCCCGGGAAACTCTTGGGCGCAGCGCTGGGGTTGTCACTCAGGGCCCCTTTCTGTGACAACCCCTTGCTGTTTCTCGAGGGCCTGTTCGAAGCAGGTATGCGGCATCTTGGGGGCCGGTTTGGGGCCTCGTGGGGGTTTCTTGGGGCCTCCTGGGGACCTTTTGGGGCCTTATTGGGGGCCGGCGGGAGAGCCTTGGGAACCTCTTTGGGGCCTCTTGGGGACCTCCATTGTGCCTCTTTGGGGCCTCTTTGGGGCCTCTTTGGGGCCTCTTGGGGACCTCTTTGGGGCCTCCTGGGGGAGAGCCCTGGGGACCTCTTTGGGGCCTCTTTGGGGCCTCAGGAGGAGGAGCTACATTGTCCTGCGACGTCGTAGTGCGAGGCAGGCCAAGAAAGTCAATCCTCATACTTATCATGCAACGGCTGCTTCGCGAGGCTAGCTGAGTACAAGGCCCTCATCAAGATGCGCTCGATCATCGGAAGGGGGATGGCGTTGCCGATGATTGCATGGAACTGCCCCTCGCAAATGATATGCTTCCATCCCCGCACGCGCCATTCCTCGACACCCTGCAGTCGAAGCATCTCACCAGTAGTCATCTCGCGCTGAAGGCACGTCACCCAGTGGCCGTGCGACATAGCCCTGTTCCTGGTCAAGCACGGGGAATATCCGATCGCGTAATTCATCTTAGAAGAGCCATGGTCGACCACTGCAGGAACGGCAAGCGGGTCGCTACCGTCGGAGGCGATGGCCTTGAGTGCGTCCAAGACGTTCTTGCGTTTCGTGCCACTTGACTTACTTGGTAGGTTGCCCGGGAAAGGTTTGAGGTCCGTGGCGGGATCCATGAGGTCGATGAGGTTGCGCATCGTGACTGGGCCTGGCCACTGCAGGGGTGCTTGTTGAGCTCCACGTAGCACGCCGACAATGAATCTCCTCCGACGGTTCTGGGGCAAGCCGCCGTGGATGCGGCAGTTGAGGGTCTGCGACTCCACAGTGTAGAGGTAGCGGTTGTCCTTGTCCGTGAGTGTTTGGAGTGCTGACACGATAGCGTTGAAGCTGTCAGCGTTATCGCCAGCCGCAATGTTGTCCACGTTCTCCAGCAGGAAGAGCAAAGGTCTCCGCGTAGTGATGTAGGCAATGAGGAACACGATGATGAGCCCGAGCCCTCGGACATCCAGAAAGCCATCGCGGCGGCCTGCCACTGACCAGCATTGACAAGGGAAGCCTGCCATGAAGAATTGCACGGGAGCGGCGGAGCCAAGGAAGTTGGTGCCCATCACGTCGTCGAAGTATTCGTGGTAGCCGTGGAGGAACTCGGCGATCTTCTTCACGTGCTTGCTGTTGTCGCACGAGAAGGCGTGGTGGAAAGGGATCTTCATGGCTTCGAGGGCTAGGATCTCTGAGTTCCAGCCAGAGCACGCTGAGCCCACTGTTATGGGAGTTGTCCCATCCCAGGGCTCAGCAAAGCCCTTATCGTAGATTGACATGGTCTCGGTAACGATAGTTGTGATGGATGCAAGGATGGTGGTCATCAGCATGTCGATGGTTGGTCGGCACGTCCTGGCTGGTTTCTTCTTCACCTGCTTGACCTTGGTGGTCGTTGCTGCTGGGCGCTTCCTGGATGAGGCGTTCGCAGGTGGCCGCGGCGGGCCCGCCGGCGCCCCACCCGAGCACTCGTGGTCCATGGAAGCCTGTGTGTGCAGGTCGCTGCAGCAATGGCGCTTTGACACGGAAACCGAAACAGCTTTAGAACGTGTTACGGACATTGCCCAAGTAGGCGACCGAAGGCGAGCCTTGGAGCTCGCACTTGCTGTCGGATGCATCCGCTCACTCAGGCGAGGCGCGGCATGGGACAGCATGAGGCCCCAAGAGGACCCCCAGGGGCGCCACTCCTGAAGGCCAAAAAAAGAGCAGACCCAAGAGGACCCAAGGTTCCCAAGGCGTATGAGATTGAGGGCCCCGACAAGGCCCTATCGAAGAGGTCCCCAAGAGGTTCCAAGAGAGGCCCACGAGGAATCCAGTGAACAATCTAAGAACCCGTTGAAAAACATAGGGGATCATTAACCCATTGATATCCCAAAGGGAGAACTTGAACTAGCAACGTATTGAAGGCGTAATTCGCGGAGCAAGTGTCTCATCATCCTCCCTCCTCCTCTTCCTCCTCCTCCTCCTCCTCCTTCCCCGTCTCCTCATCCTCCTCCTCCGTCTCTTCCTTCTCCGTCGTCGTCCTTCTCATCCTCATCCCTCCTCCCTCCGTATCATCCTCCTCCTCATCATCCTCCTCCTCCTCCCTCCTTATCATCATCATACGTCCACCACTGCATCATCGCCCTCATCATTGGTAACCCCTGTAACCCCGACTGAAAGCCACTGGAGCTCTGTGGAGAAGGGGGGGGGTATTATCCCCCCCCCCGCTCCACTGTCATGGACGTCCGAGGCTGCGGAAAACGCCCCCCCAGGAAGGACGTCCGAGACTGCGGAGAAATTGTGTAATGATTTATTCAGTGTGCGAGCTGTGTGGAAACGCTTGCTTGATTTTAACACCCGTTTCCACAGCGCGCCTCGGACGTCCAAGAGGCCGGAGCGGGGGGGGGATAATATCCCCCCCCCGCTCCACAGTCTCGACGGTGTCCGACCATCCAGCGTCGTCGAAGGGGGAACGGCGGAGGGAGGGGGGGAGGGAGCGAGCAGGGAGGGAGGGAGGGATGGGGATGGAGGGTGGAGGGAGGGAGACGGAGGGGGTTGGGAGGAGGCGGAGGAGCAGGAGGAGGAGCAGGAGAAGGAGCAGGAGGAGGAGGAGGAGGAGGAGGAGGAGGAGGAGGAGCTATTGAGTAGGAGGTGGAGGAGTAGTAGCTACCATATAAACCCTACGAGCCCTATAACCCCTGTGAGCCCTGTAGGCCATATAAGCCTTATAAGCCCCATAGGCCACATAAGCCCCATGCGCCCTATAAGCCGCATAAGCCATATAAGACCTATCGTCGGTGGGAACCACGGTTTGGCAGGGATCAGCACTCGGGCAAGTGGTGATCCCTACCAAAGGTTTTGTTTGATACGCCCCGTAAGCAGTAGACGCCTTGTAAGCCACATACGCCATATAAACACTCTAAGTCATGTAAGCCATAAATGCCATACAAGCCCCAGGCGCCCTGCAAGCCCAATAAGCCCTAAAAGCCTGATACGGCCTACAAGACATACGAGCCGTAAGAGCCAGATAAGCCCTATAAGCCATATGAGCCTTGAACGCCTTATAAGCCAAATGAGCTGTATAAGCCCTATAAGACCTGTAAGCCCGACAAACCCTATAAGCCCTATAGGCCCTATAAGCCCTACGAACCCTTTGGGCCCTATGAGCCCTATAAGCCGTATGAGGCCTACCAGACCGATGAGCCCTATGATCCTTGTGAGCCCTAACAGCCGCAGGAACCTCATGAGTCCCACAAGCCATGCACGCCCGATAAGCCTTTTAAGCCCTGTAACCCTTG